GAGCCCGTGCCACTGGCAGAGTCGTTTTCTTAGAGAGACAGAGTTTCCGGTGGACCGTGTGCCCGGCGCGTTCTCCACGGTGCCCCACGGTCACGAATCCTGCTCCGTTGCCAGCCGCTGCTACGCACAGATTCTCCCCTCCGCTCGCTCGCACAGGTGGGCGCTGCGGTCGATGCGGTCGAGAGGAATGGTGCGGGGCCGTGAGAAGCCGCAGCGCCGCATGCACGAAAGTCCGAGGAAGTTCGCCCCCAGCTCGCCGTGGCACCGCTGGACCGGCTTCCGCCCCCGACCCCGCTCACAGCCAACAACCGGTCGTCCCGCAGCATGGTGACAAGAGAAAGGAGGTCAGGGCTTCGTGGTCACGATCACGTCCTGGACGAGTCCGGGAGCGGCCGCCAGGGCCTGCGTCGGCAGGTCGGCCACCAAGAAACCACCTTTTCGCAAAGCCTCAGAAGGTCAGCACTGTCCGGTTCATGCGAATTCGTCTCGAAATGATAGCATGTTCATCGACAAACACACAAACGAAACTTTTCCGGCTCGGAAAGACTCTAGAGAGAATAACAGTCTTTCTAGTCTTAAGATCTTCCAGTCCCATTGGTCACATACCTTTCAATTCTTCCCTGAGGAAATGAATATTATTGGTAGTATTTTGCTGCTGTTCTCAAGGTGTTCAAGGGACCATCCTTGCCACCGGTCTCTAAACACTCCAGGGAAAGCTCACTTTCGTTTTCCGACGACGTCTGATGAAGAAATGGGTTCGACGGTGCTGGCTCGTTCACACCCAGAGTGAGGACACGTGGCTCCTTCAGGGGGCCCTCGCTCTTTCCCGCTGCTGGCGGCCGCTCCCTCGGGGGCACCCAGGGACAGCCACCAGGGGCTGATCGGCACTGAGCAGAAGGAGACGCCCACGGGCCCCTGGTGTTTCCTCGGGGGTCCCCGGCCCTCTTGCTACTTTCTCCAAGTTGTCACACTGCCTCCTACAAACGGGGTGCACGTCCCCTGGGAAGGACTCAGGCTCGAAACTACTGCCGATGACTGGCTGCTGCGCAGCTGTCTGGAGAACGCCTGTCCGTCGCCATGAAATGATTTCCTTGGAGAGAGAGGAAGGGGCATCAAGGGGGAGAAAAGCCCAGGCTCCAGCGTGCCTCATTCAGAAGTCCTCTGGGACCAGCCCCCGCAGTAGCGCCGATCCTCATGCGCAGACAGGTCTCTGAGGCCTCCGTGACGGCTGGGGGCCCAGTTCAGTAGCCGGCGTGCTGTGGGACCCTCCTCCCGCCCTTCCCCCTCCTCCCTCTGCCAAGTGAAGACAGAAAAGAACGTGGTATCACAGAGATAGCATAAATGAATGTCAGGTGTAATTTGGCACTTTAGTTCCAAAATATAACAAAATAGCTCTACATTTTTTTTTTTTTTTAATTTTAGCTTTTACAATCAGTGTTGTATATTGCAATTCATAGCTTTCTGGGTGGCCTGCAAGAAATTTAATCCCTTTTCTTTAAGGCCAGCCAGGCAACGCTTGGTGTCCCCTAGTTAGTACAGGGAATGGGGGTCTGTGTGCAAGAAGGGACCGAGGGTCTGTACCCGCCTGGGGGCCAGAGAGGAGAGCACGCAGAGCCCCAGGCTGGCTGGGAGAGAGGGGCCCCCGTGGGCGGGAGACGTGGAGGACTGTGTGTAAAGAAGGCTTTAGAGAGGAGGAGTCCCAGGGTGGGGGGACCCAGCTCTACCTTCTGCTGGTACCTGTGCGTCAGCTAACATCCAGGTAAGGACTGAGCTTGGCTCGCCAGATCCCAGCTGAGAACTACCCCCGCGCTGTGCCTCTCCGGGGAGAGGCACGGAGCCTGGCGCCAGGACCACCCCACCGCAAAGGTCTTCCCTCCTTGTGGCCCAAAGCTCTGTGTGAGCATTTGCCACCCCCACCACTTTAGTCATTTTTGACTAGTGACTTAATCTAAAGATCTCGAGCCAGGGAGCTTTGCTGCAGAAAGACGCCTCTGCTCCAGGGTCGTGTTCCAACCACCGTCTACGTGCATGGCAAGCCCGCTGAGATGGTGACATCTCTGGCTGTGGCTACTGTACCCACAGCTCGGGGCTCCTGGACTAGGCCAGAGCACTGGCATCTCACAGCTGAGGGTGCCGGCAGGTGAAGCGACCGGTAACCGGGGAGGAGAAGAGATATGCTGGGTAGAGGACGTGAAACATTTCTGTACTTAAAACAAAAACGCCCTTTCCTGGCTGACCTCGGCAGTACCGAACGCGCATCACGGCTAGTGCTGATGGGTCTTCATGGCGTGAAATTAAATGAAGCTCTTTTTCTGCTCTCTTGAAATAAGTGATTTTAAAGAAAAAAATAGATGAAGGAGGAAAACAGGATCTCTTCCAAGGAATAATGTTTGAAAAGTCACATGAGAGTTTAAAAAATAAAATTGCCAAAATATATGAACGTAGATTGTGGATGGTACACTGTAGAACCTCCGTCTATTTCCCTCGCTTATATATAAAAAAGGGTGTCCGTCATTACTAGATGACTTCTTTCTACTCTTTAAAAAAAGTGTATATACAATCTCTAGACATATATTAAACTTTCCCTTGTGCAACTTGAGTTAACATTCCTACGACTGAGCCCAGGGTCCCAGTCCCGCACAGTGCATCCTCTAAGGTGCTCGTACCTCTTTGCATAGGTATAGGAGAAATAACTCTTCAGTAGGGCAGTCGAGAGTAGGGTAGGAATTTACAGGGCTTGACAAATACTCCCTTCTGCTTGCACCACTGCCACCGAAATCAACCAACCAACCAACCACCAACCACCAACCAACCAACCAACCAACCACCAACCATCCACCAACAACTTACAATTTGATCCTCACTCTCCAAACACACGGCCATAGTCTTACTGTTACCAAAGACAGGCTGATCTTGATTATGCCTCACTAAGAAAAATGATCATCTGACACTAGTGGAAGAAATGATAAATATCCATAGTTTTACAAATAACAAACCAAGGTTTTTTTTAAAAAAAAAACTGGATTTTGCTCCAACCAACCAACAACAACCAACCAACCACCAACCAACCAACCAACCCCCAACCACCAGCCAATCACCAACAACCAACCAACCACCAACCACCAGCCAATCACCAACAACCAACCAACCACCAACCACCAGCCAATCACCAACAACCAACCAACCACCAACCACCAGCCAATCACCAACAACCAACCAACCACCAACCACCAGCCAATCACCAACAACCAACCAACCACCAACCACCAGCCAATCACCAACAACCAACCAACCACCAACCACCAGCCAATCACCAACAACCAACCAACCACCAACCACCAGCCAATCACCAACAACCAACCAACCACCAACCACCAGCCAATCACCAACAACCAACCAACCACCAACCACCAGCCAATCACCAACAACCAACCAACCACCAACCACCAGCCAATCACCAACAACCAACCAACCACCAACCACCAGCCAATCACCAACAACCAACCAACCACCAACCACCAGCCAATCACCAACAACCAACCAACCACCAACCACCAGCCAATCACCAACAACCAACCAACCACCAACCAACTACCAACCAACCAACAACCAACCACAACCAACCAGCAACCAACCACAACCAATCAACAACCAACCACAACCAACCAACTACCAACCAACCAACCAACTAACCAACTGACTGACAGACCGACCAGGTTAGGAAGCCTGATGAATGGAACACAGTGCAAGTCCTGCCCTTACTCGATCTGGAGATTCCTATACCGACGTGTATTCTCCTTTTGGTGTTCTCCATGTTCCCTTCTGAGCAAATTCTTAATGAATAGCGCCACTATTTTTATAAGAAAAATAAAGGTTTGGGTCTTCCTTTTACCCATAAAGCATTTAGATTGTTTGTTAACCCACCTCCCAGACATGCTAAAGCATAAACCCTGTCAAAGTGCACTCAGAATGGACGGCGCTGTGTTGACCTCACGTGGCTTTCTGAACAGAGGGGGACGCGCAGGCCGTGCTCTGCCGTCCGCAGCGAACCTGCGGGGACAGTCTCAGACCTCCACCTTTTCTCCAACCAGGCAGTGTGGCGTACCGAGGGAGGGCCCCGATGACCCATTGACCTGCGACTTGGCCAGGTGAGTGGTGACACACAGATCCCAGCTGCGGTTTGCATCGCACCCCTGAAAGAGGCATCGGGCTTCCCCGCGCCAGCTCTGGGCTGAGCTGTGGCGGGTACACAGTGCGCTGGGCATCTCGTGGGTCCCGGGAAGACAAACGGGTGTCCCCCAGCAGTGACGGCGGGACGTCCTGAGCTCAGCGTGGAGCTGAAGTCTGCTGGTGATTCCATCGCCCGTCTCTTTTCGAGTGTCGGCCATCCAGGGCCCTTCGAGCTCACAGCTCTACCATGGTTCAGTTTGGGGCCATTCTTCAAAAGAGAACAAAACAGACAGACGAGAAAGACATAGAAAAGGTGCCCAGAGCGCTGCCCTTGCTGACAACACATCGCGATGTGTGCTGCTCCGGGAGGTCAAATGGAAAACCGGGAGGAGACCATTCACATGAAAGCAAGTACTGTTCTCTGTACAAATGCCACCGAATAACGTGTAGCTTTTCGCGTGTCGAAAAAGCCTCAGAAACGGCGTTATTCAGAAAGCTTATCGAAATATGCCTCCTTTCTAGGTAAGACCGGCTGGGTTGGTTCAAGCGCTGCAGAAGCCCCCGGTTTCAGACCCAGGCGCACAGCAGAAAAAGCTGACTTTTCACCCACGCGGACGGTGAGTTACAGCTGCTCTCGGCCGGTCCGGTCGCTGCAAGGCCAGGGGGGGCGGCGACCGTTTTGTTTTCCCTTGGCTGTGATTCCACCGAGGTTCCTGGACGCGCTTCTCCTGGGCCGGGGGCTG